GTGTCTCCTCCTCTCTGTCGTTGTTCATCAAATTCCTAGACAGAAGTTCCGTGTGGTGTGATTGTTCTGTTTCTGGCCCTGGCGACGTGGTCAGAGATTGAGGCTCCGGACTTGATTCACCGACCTCTTTACCAGTTCCTGAGTGTTGAGACGGGGCGAGATATACCCCCTGGGAAAAGTATGGTAATAACTATTCATCATTGGTGCTGTCCTCCTCCTTCCTCCCCGTTCTTTTCTTCTTCCTCTCCTCTTCCTCCTCCTCCTCCTTTTTCTCCTCCTCCTCCTCCTCCTTCTCCTCCTCCTCCTCCTCCTCCTCCTCCTCCTCCTCCTCCTCCTCCTCCTCCTCCTCCTCCTCCTCCTCCTCCTCGTCCTCTTCTTCTTCTTCTTCTTCTTCTTCTTCTTCTTCTTCTTCTTCTTCTTCTTCTTCTTCTTCTTCTTCTTCTTCATCTTCTTCAATCATTTTTACAGATGATAGTCTTGAACAAGAAGACGTTCCTGTAGGTTTGACTGAAGATATTCGTCCACATAATATCGTATTGTGTTAACCTTCCGAATTGTTGGTTGGTGTGTGCTCTGGTGTGGTTTGCTCCTTTTCTATTAACCATCTATCGTCGCCGTCTCACTTCCTCTTTTTGTGTGTGTGTTTCTCTCTTGCCACATCAGTCATTTTCAGCACTTTTATAACCTTATTGTGTTGCTAGTGCCGTAAAACATTAATTACTTAACCTGAAAAATATTCCAGGAGAGTTTACTTGCGACCCCACGGCCTTCAAGGTCACACCGGAGATGATACAGTCCTACAACGACGTTGGATATTTCCTAGTTAGGTAAGCTGATATCTTTTGGCCGAGTTCAGTGTGGAAGACGTTATGTTATCTACCCAATATCGACCTACTCGTGTTGTTCGATAGGTGGGGACAGTGGAGAAATGTGTTCTTCTTTCTCTTTCCCTTTCTCCTTTTCTTTCTTTCACTCTCCCTGTCTCTGTCTCTGTCTCTGTAAGTCTCTCTCTCTGTCTCTCTCTCTCTCTCTCTCTCTCTCTCTCTCTCTCTCTCTCTCTCTCTCTCTCTCTCTCTCTCTCTCTCTCTCTGTCGCTCATTCTGTCCTGTCTCTATCTCAGTCTCTATGTCTTCTCTGCCTCTGTCACTGGCTCTCTTTCTTTCTCTCTCTCTCTCTATCTCTTTCTCTCTCTCTCTCTCTCTCTCTTTCTCTCCCCCCCTCTCTTTCTACGTGTATGTTTTTCTCTGCCCCCCCCCCTTTCTCTCTCTCTCTCTTCTCTCTCTCTCTCTCTCTCTCTCTCTCTCTCTCTCTCTCTAACTCTCTCTCCCTCTCTCTACATTGAAATGAAATAATATTGTATGCAAATGTAAAAAAAAACTCAACCTGATTTTGATTTATTAATCTAGTAACCAATCTATGCAATAATTCATAATCAGTTTACGTAAAAGAAGCAATGATTAGGAAGAAGCAGTAGCGTCTACGTGTATCTATCTCGTTATAAATTTTTTTTTCTATCTATATATACATTATATATATTAGACAATAACAATCTTTATTCATCTCTCAAGGAGAAAACATAATAATATATTCTATCTGCAATCTTATAATATTGTTGATGCACACAGACCCGAGGAACAATCTACTTCCCTAGACAGTTTCCTGTGAATCTATAAAGTCTCATAAACTCAACATGTTTTATTAAGTATTAGCCATTTAATATTCACCAAATTTCAGGGGATTCCTGTCAAATCCTGAGCTTGATAAGCTAAAAACTGCCGTGGAACACGACCGATTTTTCGAGAAAGGTTTTGGGGTAAGTACACGGGTTCTGAGAGGAATGGACTTTCTTTATACCTTTCCGGCGCCTGTGGTGTGGTTCTCTGGTGCAGTTGTTACGTCATTTACTTCTGCATATGAAAAACTTGAGTTTGATTCCCATTTTTACCGTATCTTACCGAGTTCTGGTTTGTTTGGTCAGGCAGGGTCTAGTTCCCAGTGGCGGTGCCCTTTGGCAGGACTGGATCGGTTCGGATCGAGTCGATATGGCGGCTTTGGTGAACACTATGAATAAACCCCTTTTTTGCTATGTCAAATTTAACCCACAATTTCAAGAATAGAAAACAAATTTACCCGCACGTGGTAGATTTAACGACCCTATCAATACCATTACGTAATTCGAGAGACAGGACTTCCGAATTTAACATCCTTTTCCGAAAAGGCAGAGCCAAAATGGGTTAAGAGTCTGGAAAACTCCACAAAAAAATCCCGAGTTCAAGAAAGCCCAGTCGTTTATGAAATGTTAAAATGGGTGCTCCTGGGCTGGAACTTAAATATAATATATAATACAATAAATAT